CAAGGGTATCCCTCTATAGTAGCCTTTGAGGACCTAAGGATATCCCAAGGGGGAAACAGCTGATTTTTTTGATTTAAATCAGAAAAGAAAATCAGAAAAATCAAAAAAATCAACAAAAATCTTTAATCTCTGTTGTTCAAAACATCAATCAAGGGTGGAGCAGCTGAAATTAGATTTTATTGATTTCCGTGTTTTTTTTAATTTTTTTGATTTCGTTGATTTTTTGTTTGATTTTTCTGATTTTTTTTATTTTTCTGATTTTTTTAAGTTTTTTTAAATTTTTTTAAATTTTTTTGATTTAAATCAATTGATTTTAGATCAAAAAAATCAAAAAAAAATCAAAAAAATCAAAAAGAAAATCAAAAAAATCAAAAAAAATCAAAAAAATCTGATTTCAGCTGTTTTCCCCTTGGGATATCCCCTATAGTGGCAAAGAATGCTTTTAAGTTGTAATTGCGCAATCTCAGCCGATTCAATTTAAATAGGAGATTTAAGCGTAAGATGAGCATGAAATTTTAGTCGAATGGTTTGTATAACCGCTTTGTAATCCAAAGAATCAAGAATAAGGGTGTTAGTTATAGAGTTCGAATCTACCCTATGGCATAAAAAAAATAGAACACTCAACTTAAAAGTACTATTGGAAATACTTGAAAGTACTATTGAAAGTACTTGAAGGTACTATAGAGAGCACTTGGAGGTACTATAGAGAGAGAGTATTTGAAAGTAGTATAGAGAGTACTTAAAAGTACTATGGAAAGTGCTTACAAGTACTATAGAAAGTACCTAAAATTACTATAGCAAATATTTGAAGATACTATAGAAAGTATTGAAAAGTACTGTAATACGGTACCCATGTAACAGTATTAATTCAAAAAGGTTAGTATTGAGTACTTTTAATACTTTTTCACTAAGTAAAAAAAGTACTTATAAGTGAACCTTTTTAAGTAACTATAAGTATACTTATAAGTAAAAAGTACTTAAAAGTACTATGATAAGTACTTTTAAGTATTATTATAGCTACTTTTAAGAATTATTAAATTTACTTTTAAGTACTATCAAAAGTACTTTTAAGTACTGTAAAAATTACTTTTAAATACTACCGGAAGTACTTTTAAGTACTTTTTACTTATAAGTATACTTATAGTTACTTAAAAAGGTTCACTTTTAAGTACTTTTTACACTTGGTGAAAAAATATTAAAAGTACTTAATAGTTACTTTTTTTGGGTCAAAAATTTTACATGGGTAGAAAAATATGATAAGTAAACAACAAAAAAAAAAAAAAGAATTTAAAAAGAATTAAAACCTTTAAAAACTTGTTCGGGTGATGATAATATAATAGTTTTCGATGGTAAAATAGATGGAAGAAAAGGTCGTTTAATTTTAGTTGTTTTCCATAATTTAGAATAATGTTGTTGAAAATTTTCAGCTAAAAATTTAAGTGCTATTGGTAATTTATATTCATTATTTAATTCTTTCTTTTGTTCATTATGTTCTTCAATAATTCGATCAATTAATTTTCGTAAATCAGGTACTTCACGTACACCAATTTCTTTTAGAAATACATATTCACGTGAATGTAAATCAATATCATGCCAATCAATTATTGGT